GATCTGTCACGGCCGAGGGACACAATTCCCCCCAACTAGGAATAGCTGAAGACAGCTGGACAGTAAACACTGTCGGGTTCAAAGGCTTTATTGTTGGAGACCCGGGAAGATCCGGGGTAGAATAGGTCTTCAGCAACCCATGCTTGCCATAAAAGGTGACTATGCTTGTTGTAAGAGGCGACTAACGGGATCGTATGGTCAGGCTCGCTGACTTGGTTTGATACATGTCATGATGTCCATCACGGGATTGTCTGGTCCAGACTCGATTATTTACAGACCACCGCCACACAACTGGGATATTGCTAAGTGCGACGTAACAAACAAACAAAACTTTATTGTAGGAACGACGTCACATCAAATCATGACCAATGCGACGTCATGACCAATGGATGACGTCATCTTCATTTAACTGCTAAAACGTGTTAATATAATAACAATGGAACAATTGAAACGAACTTGCCAATCAGCATAAAGGAAAAATTATAATGATTGCACCAATATCTTTGTCCATATATAGGGCGAATTTATTTTTTTTCTTGGTTTACGGATTTCAAACTCATTTCAAAAGTGAGATAGGCCAATTTTTTTAAAAAAGCCTCAGAGATTTTTTTACTTGAATTTTGTACTTGAAAGTTAGGTGGGTATAAAAAAATATTTTGGAGTAACAAAATTAAAACAAAATTTTCAAGAACATTTTATCATATCCCTGGCCCTCGTGTCCGAGCCGAGAAATCGAGGCGACGAAAGCCGAGATGTTATTTGACTTACATTACACGCGATCGCACAAAAATAACTTAGATTTCAGTTTGGCAACTTTTTGATATATTTTTGTTGATTTTATTACTTTGTATATTATATTTAAAGATTTGCTTGAAACGTCTTTATTTTGCTGTTTGACATCTTCGATGAGGACCCGTTGTCGAAGTGTGTCCGAGAATTTGATTTTCAATAACATTGCGTGAAATAGTGAATATGTTTTAAATCTATTGATAAAAAAATGATAAAATGAAATGGAATACGTATTTCAGACACTGTGAAATGTGATAGATTTAATAAATGAATGATATGACAAGTAGTTTAATAAAATTATAAACTATTTTGACCTGACTTGGCCGGTCTACACTGCGGTGTCTGGTGACTCGTGGCTTCTTGGCCGGTGTACTGGCCAACAGTGTTGAAAGAGTTAAACTGGTCACCACTGCGCTTTGCGAAGATAAACTTTGACTTGGCCGGTCTAAACTGCGGTGTCTGGTGACTGGTGGCTTCTTGGCCGGTGTACTGGCCAACAGTGTTGAAAGAGTTAAACTGGTCACCACTGTGCTTTGCGTTGATAAACTTTGATGGTATTAGAGAAGGATCCAAGCAAGAAATATCAGAGTGACTTCCCTTTGCTTTACGCTAGCGCTCGACGAGGAAATGAAATCTTTTTTTTGTTTGAACTTTTTGACGAAAAGATCGGCGGTAATAAAAAAAGGGTAATTTTCATTTTCATTTTTTTTGGACTTTGAAAGAGCGGTGCATCCGTTAACCAAGAAATAAAAAAAAAATGTTGCCTGGAGAATCTCACCCGAGTGTCTTTTGATATTAAATATATCAACACGAAATGATAAAAGTGGCAAAACTCATAGAACAAACTCAAGATATACTTTTAAAACTAATTAAAAACATATATTCAATCGAGAAATGTATTGATGTAAAAAAGGATGATAAAAATAACTTTAACAAAAAATGGTCACTTTTATTCTCAGCATTCGATTCTCAGCTCTCTGTTGATATATGCTATGTTTGAGTCTGATTGTGTGTTGCAACCATTTTGGTTTGAAATGTGACATTTTTAAAGAGTGGAATGTGTCGTTCTATGCAATCCGAAATATGTTTTTAACGGAATACTGTATTACTCTACAACTCTGGGAACAATAAAAATCTTTAAAAAAAACAAAAACTCATAAGACGCCTCCCTCTTAAAAATAGCGTCGCCAAAGTTACGACGTCATCAAGTTGCGAGCGCATGTTCGAGTAGATCCACAGAAATAACGTCATGATAGAGTAATACTTTATCGTGAAATAAACCACGCTTGTTCTTCATTGTTCTTTGCGATTTATCGCGTAGATATCTTATATAAAATAAGAATAATTTGTTCCCCAAAAAATGGGAAAATATGTTTTCTCCCCACTTCGATCTGATTGTGACGTTGCAGATGTAGTTTCACTTCGATCTGATTGTGACGTTGTAGCTGTAGTTTCACTTCGATCTGATTGTGACGTTGTAGCTGTAGTTTCACTTCGATCTGATTGTGACGTTGTAGGTGTAGTTTCACTTCGATCTGATTGTGACGTTGCAGCTGTAGTTTCACTTCGATCTGATTGTGACGTTGTAGCTGTTGTTTCACTTCGATCTGATTGTGACGTTGCAGCTGTAGTTTCACTTCGATCTGATTGTGACGTTGTAGGTGTAGTTTCACTTCGATCTGATTGTGACGTTGCAGCTGTAGTTTCCCTTCGATCTGATTGTGACGTTGTAGCTGTTGTTTCACTTCGATCTGATTGTGACGTTGCAGCTGTAGTTTCACTTCGATCTGATTGTGACGTTGTAGCTGTAGTTTCCCTTCGATCTGATTGTGACGTTGCAGCTGTAGTTTCACTTCGATCTGATTGTGACGTTGTAGCTGTAGTTTCACTTCGATCTGATTGTGACATTGTAGCTGTAGTTTCACTAAATTTTTCCGCTGTATTACTCGTGTAAGACTCATGTTTCAAAGAAAACAAATATTTTTTTAGTAATTATCAAATTTATATGAACATATATGTCACGTTGGAATACGCTTTCACATCCATACACTGTTACAACATGCATCACAATGTCATGACGTCACGTATAGTGTATCAAATATATACTTCATAGCCGTCTTAGTACGTAACTATATACACTCTGGAACTCATTACGGGGTCACCATGGTTACGATGCTTTTACACTCAAATGAATCAATAATTGTCTTTAAATTCTTTGCAAATGAACTACTTTTACATCCGCAGCCACGTAAACAATTTTATAAGGCGTTTTATTAATTACATGATTTACGGAACATTTTTACATGTGTTCATTATAGGCCTAGAGTGAGTGAGTGAGTGAGTGAGTTGGCTTTAAGGCCGCGTTGAACAGTATTCCAGTTATATCACAGCATGTCAGCTTAATATGGGGGAATGACCGAAACAGGTCTCAGACGTTTACCACTTTGGTGAAACCCACGAGCACGGGTATGGTGCTGACAAACCTAGAAACATAAGCGAAGTGCGGAGCATCAGCGGACTGGGCTATTCGTGCCCCTACTTTGCCTCTGAATAAGAGGAGCGATAGTTAATTCTTCCATCGATATACAATATATACTTAGGGGAAGCACATGAGCAGCAGATTTGAGTGACTTCAATGAAATGGGTCGCTACATGACAGAGCCTAGTTACCCTCTAGAGAACGTTTTTTTTCGTCCCGTCGATTGTGTTCACTAACATCAATAAAGAAAAACAATCAGGACAGTCAAATAGGGCGGAAATTAAAACTTTTCGTATTTTCATTAAAAAAAAGTTAGAGGAAAAAATTCAGGAAAAAGTCCATAAACAATATTATGACGAAAGAGACCGTATCATGCATGCATTAGCATTAGAGTGCACGTGAGTGCGAAATCTACTATCGCAAGAAGCGGTAATAAAATGTTCGTTATCTAACGATATGGTTCTCATTTTATTTCATGATAGTACGCATGGCACAAGTAGCTCAGAGAGTGATTGTTTTATGCCAGTCAGCAATATTCAACCTACATTACGGCTGCCTGTATAAAATCGAACCTGGACCATGTAAACCATTCCAGCGTCATCCAAGCGGTCGGAGTACGATGCATCAGAACCAACCAAGTTACCCAGCCCGACCATCCCATTCATTTGAGTCGCCTCTTAAGCAATGTAGTATCGGAGACGTTTTCTAACCATGGCCCTATCGTCATGCACCGCCTGCCCACTCCCTACGTTCAATATATCGGCTCTTCCGATTTGGGGTCAGATGTGTGGGTCACGACCTGTAGGTTGGGGGTCCGATGTGTGGGTCACAGCCTGTAGGTAGGGGTCAGATGTGTGGGTCACAGCCTGTAGGTAGGGGTCAGATGTGTGGGTCATAGTCAGATGTGTGGGCCATAGCCTGTAGGTTGGGTCAGATGTGTGGGTCACAGTCTGTAGGTTGCGGGTCAGATAGGTGGGTCACAGCCTGTAGGTTGGGGGTCAGATGTGTGGGTCACAGACTGTAGGTAGGAGGCCAGATTGTGGGTCACAGCCTGTGGGTAGGGAGTCAGATTGTGGGCCACAGCCTGTAGGTAGGGGTCAGATCTGTGGGTCACAGCCAGTAGGTTGGGGATCAGATGTGTGGGTCACAGCCTGTAGGTAGGGTCAGATCTGTGGGTCACAGCCTGTAGGTAGGGGTCAGATCTGTGGGTCACAGCCAGTAGGTTGGGGATCAGATGTGTGGGTCACAGCCTGTAGGTAGGGGTCAGATGTGTGGGTCACAGCCTGTAGGTTGGGGATCAGATGTGTGGGTCACAGCCAGTAGGTTGGGGATCAGATGTGTGGGTCACAGCCTGTAGGTAGGGGTCAGATCTGTGGGTCACAGCCTGTAGGTTGGGGATCAGATGTGTAGGTCACAGCCTGTAGGTTGGGGATCAGATGTGTAGGTCACAGCCTGTAGGTTGGGGATCAGATGTGTAGGTCACAGCCTGTAGGTTGGGGATCAGATGTGTAGGTCACAGCCTGTAGGTAGGGGATCAGATGTGTGGGTCACAGCCTGTAGGTTTGGGATTACCACTGCTCCACGACACGTGAAGATCCGGGGAAGAATAGGTCTTCAGCAACCAATACTTGCCTATGCTTGTCGTAAGAGGCGACTAACGGGATCGGGAGATCAGACTCGCTGACTTGGTTGATGCATGTCATCGATCCCAATTGCGTGAATTGATGCTCATGAAATCAATCACTGGATTGTCTGGTCCAGACACTATTATTTATTCTATTCATGACCGCCGTCATACAGCTGGATTATTGGAGTGCGGCGTTAAACAACAAACCAACCAAATCATAGTAACACTACCCTACTGAGATGGCTGAAGGTACCGGTCAGTTAGCTGGTTTTGATTCAATGTCATCAACCCTCCAGAACAAGCCCCGGGCGGCTTGCATGCAGTAGAACATGCTATTGCAAAGGGGATGAGTGGTTCGAGCATGATGGCACCTTGATTGCCTCGACCAGGCCTGATGTCACTGAATGAGAGAGCATATAGTATGAATTTTGTTTCAGCAATATCACAGTCATATCATGACGTTCGAGTTTGAGATAGACAAACCAGTGGTGATAGTATGAGCAATGATCACGTCACGTCATAGTCATCCGATTCCCTTTTCGTCGCCTATTAAAATAATCATTGGGTTTTGAGGGGCGTAATCCACTTGAAAATCATATACTTAACATACCGCCTTGATGTAGCTCAAGGTCATTCAGTGTTCATGAAACCTTTATACAAACACTGGTAAAGGGATGTGCTATGCCATCAACCAACCAATCTTCTTTTAAACTGTATTTCCTCAATTTCATCATTAGCATTGTGACCGTGTCTTCAAACATAAATATTGTATTTGCCGAATGAATTAATTGTAATTCTTCCATTCAGGCATGCAGAATTAACTCGTAGGTCACGGAATCAACCGAGTGGTCCCGAGTGGCTAAGCCCATTCAAAACGACACGCCTTTTGGGACTATGTACAAACATCAATCACATTTCAACAAGTAAATGACAGCTCAAATGACTGTCTGCTGACTGCTCCTGCTCAAACCTGTAAACATATCCCTCCGTATTTTACAACACATAAACAGTTGTTTATACGCCATCTTGAACTGGCGGCTAAACACATAAAAAAGTATAGGGTTCATCGTACTGTTCAAATACCCGAGCCACATGGCGACAAGTTTCGCCAAGTTTGGCAGCGTGAAATCCAAGAATGGATCAGCCGTGTTGATGAGGATGAACGGGAACCAGCAGACACAGAAGCATCCCATGACGATGCCAAGGGTCTTTGCAGCTTTGGTTTCCTGCTGCAGGCGACCCTCGTCCTTGAACTCCGCATCTCTGTGGGCAAGAGTTTGTAAGTTTCTCGCATGGCGTCTCGCCGCGGCGAAAATCCTAGAATAGCACACAGCCATGAAGATGGTAGGGACATAGAACGACACCAGGGTTGAGAACACTGAGTACGGTTTGTTCATGAGAAGAGGGCATCCTTTTTCCACCTTGGTGAAACAGTAGCTGAGATGCTCCACTCCGCTGAGATTCCAGTGCCACATTATTGGTACGACGAACGCCAGGATGGGAATGATCCAACAGGACAGTATCATCACCACGGTCGTCTTATGTCGTATTTTAACATGCAGGAAAGGACGACTGATTGCCAGGTATCTGTCACAGGCTAGACAGGACAGGTTCAGGATCGATGCAGTGGAAAAGACGCAGTCGAAGACGTTGACAATGTCACAGAAGGTTTCGCCTAACGGCCATATGTGATCGTTACCAAGCTCTACAGCACGAAAGGGCACAATTAGCAAAGCTACACATATATCCGCTACAGCTAGAGACACAACAAAGGCGTTGGCTTTGGTCCTGAGGTATCGGAACCTGGCTACGGAAAGGATCACAACTCCGTTGCCAATTAAAGTCAAGAGTGGTAGAAGCGCCAGTAAAATCCAAACAAACTGCTTTAGGCCATCTTGGAGCGGAGGCAATGCGCCCGGATGCTTGGCTAGAACTTCATCACAGTCGAATGTAAGGTTCGCCATCTTCGGCAATCACATCATAGGAAGCAAGTCTGAAAATTTAGAAGAATGGTTGTTACTTTTAGGCAAGTGAGTCATGTTTGAAATGAATATGGTTTAACTTCAATTCAAAGTTCACTATTCTCAATTATCTAGAGTGTATTATATCTCCATTCTTTAAGGATAAATACCCTGGGCCCAGTCACTAACTAAGGTTCATTTTGTTAAATTCAGATCTTAGTTCTCGCTACCGCCAATGTCATTAAATTCAGATCTTAGTTCTCGCTACCGCTGATCTCATTAAAATCAGATCTTAGCTATCGCTAAACAAACATCTGAGGACGTCCCATTTCAGGTCACGTCAGAACGACCTCTCATCCGACCAATCAAAGCGTCGCTTACCAGATCAGGAAATTGACAGTCGGAATGTGTTTTCTAATCATGCCACCTCGAAAACGTTAACACGGGGTATTCCGAACGACAGTTACGGCCCGTACGACTGAGATGTCAAAATTATCGTCTATCTCTCGCTTCCTTGGGATAAACATTTGAACGGTGGAGGCTTTGCACAGTACGTAAGCACTGCCATACAATCGCAACCATATATTAGACATTCCGGGATGTTCGTTTGTTCAATTTTAAAAAATCTGTGTCATCATATTTTTAAAGCGTCGTCTGAAATGGAAGTCGCCAGGTTTAAACGAGTGCCGTAAAGCTCGAGAAGGCTGATTTCTAATTAGTTGATGTCGACGACTTGTTAATCGTTTCAGTGGTCGGTCAAAGTTCGCGAAAGGTCGTTCTGACGTGACCCGTAATGGGATGTCCTCAGTTCTTTGTTTAGCGGGAGCGATAACTTAGATCTGATTTCAATTAGATTGCGCAACCGCCAAACAAAGATCTGAGGACATTCCTTCACAGGTCACGTCAGAACGACCTTTCATCAGACCAATCAGAGCGTCGCATACCAGATCAGGAAAGTGATAGTCGGAATGAGATCTGATTGGTTTAAATTCGACACTTAAAATAGCCTACCAATCAAAGTACACGCATGAGCAAGGTGAATCTGTCCTGAATTAGGGGATCTGAGCGCTGCGTCTATCGATGTTTTGTTTTGTCTGTGTGCTGTTCACGCCGCATTCAGTAATATTCCAGCTATATGACGGCGGTCGAGATGATAGAGTCTGGACCAGACGACCAGTGATTGACATCATGAGCATCGACCTACCCTGTTGGAATACGGTGACATGCATCAACCAAGTCAGCGCGCTTGACAACCCAAACCTGTTGTCCAATCTTATCATAATCAGATCCTCTCTGTGAGAAGATCTGAATGAGTCAGTGAGTTGGGTTTATCGCCGAATTGTGATGTCTTAGACGACGGGGCCACCCGTACCCCCGTGGAGATCTGAGGACACCCCCATGATAGATCGCGTCATGTGAATCCTGAACGAACAGTGACCGTCCAATTTAAGGAAACGATGCGTTGAACCAATCAGATATCAGCTTTGTAAAAGTACTCGGTTTCATTTCTTTACCACCTCGATTCGGAAGTTTCGACCGTCGCAGAAGACAACCTAACAGCAAAAAATATACCCTTGATAATACACCGTTTTGGTGCAAATGTCATGGCGTTCAGAAATAACAGGATTATAACCTATTAACAACAGTGTAATGGCGCTGTTTTATTTTTTTGCATTCAGAACACCCCAATTAGATTCGTTTTCGAGGTACAGAAACCAGATACACCGGTGTCCCCAGATCTTCACGCAGAGAGTATGGTATCGCAGTAGATAAGATTTTAATGAGATTGAAGGTTGTCACGAATCGTACTCCTGAGTCATCACGGATGTGTTTCCGCTTTTGCGTCCGTCTTTTTGCGAACTGAAATACACGACAATTACGACCGTATCTAATCAGTTTAATCACGCATGGTGACATCAATTTCATGGCATGTTACCATTTACATTCTACATAATCATACCTATGGAAAATGAGAAGAAAGGTTATGTTTGCATCGTTGTATTCATCCAAACCACGAGAAACAGGAACAGATATTACATTCCAGCCTTTCAGGCGTTACGGTTATTCTCGAACCAAGAATTCTAAAATCTGTCACTTCACCACAACAATCAATACTCGCTTGAATCTCTGCACTTAAATTTCATTATGCTCATCTATCAAACAGATCAAACACGAAAAAAGGCGAACGAATAAAAACGGATTGTGACCCATGATCAATAGGAAAAAATCGTGTTTACAAATCACTCTCCACAGTATCGCGCTGGTTCGTCATCAATCATATCTTACTTACTGTAATGGTCCAAACACATTAAGATATTCCAGTTGTCTTAAAGTGATTTCCGCTTCCTTTAAAACGATTAAAGCAGTTTCCGTATTGATCTGTTAATATCTCCAGACGAGTCTTAGCCGTGAGGTCAATAGTTTTATATCAGTACAAGCATAACACACCCGGTCTTGTGGTCCATTCCTTCACATATGTCCAAACATTATGGACGTTAGGAAATCAAAAGCTGTATGAGTAAGTCTCCGGGGCCGGACAGACTGTTCTAAATTGAATTACAAGGATTTCTTAGCACTTTCACAGGGCTTCCTCGAGCGTTAATCATAAATCCGACCATTTCAGACGATTTTCACGCCCGATCTCTTAACACGGTGTTAATAGGACGTCGATTTATTGATGAAGAGGGTCCAGGTTTGGATGTTTTGAGATTTCTACGAAAATATTTTCATACATTCAGATTCGTTTAATATTTGTATACATGTCTGACTGTTAAATTTACGAGGTGTATTTCACCTTGGGTCGTATGTTTAATATTTGTGAATATGTCTGTGCTCAAAGACGCGTCATACTGTGCATGTTGAACTGTTTGGGAAAGTTCTTTAACATTGTACTACTGATTTACGAGGCTGTCTCATCCTTGTGAAAAGTATTTTGTAAAATGACAAGAATAAATGTGTGATCAGTTTTTGATCGGGATCAGCAGTGTTGATACTACTGCCTTGATTAACGCCGTTGCTTAGTAACATATCGGTATGGGATATACACATGACACAACGTGAATAGGACATTAGACTGATAGATTTTTAACAAAAGATGATATATTACCAACAAGCATCACGATCATAATTTGTTTGGTTTGACGTTATGATCCATACAATGGTGGAATTTTCAATGGAATGATATAGCATGTTGGTTTTTTATCCAAGAATATTTTATCAAACGTTTCTTTCAAATTCAAAATATAGTCTGAAGATTGTGTTTTGTTTGTTGTTTTGTTGATTTAACCCCGCACTCAGCAATATTCCAGCAATATGACGGCGGTCTGTAATAATAGAATCTGGACCAGACAATCCAGTGATTGACATCATAATCATCGATCTACGCAATTGGGATACGATGACATGCATCAGCCAAGTCAGCGAGCCTGACCACCCGCTACCGTTAGTCTCCTCTTACGATAAACATAGGTTGCTCAATAGCAAATTCTAACCCTGACCTTCACGGGTAGTCTGAAGACGGAAGTCTGTCCAAGTTCACCTAGTTGAGGGAGTGAGTATGATTTTACGCCGCTTTTAGCAATATCACGACGGGGGACACCAGAAATGGGCTTCACACATTGTACCCATGTCGGGAATCGGACCCGGGTCTTCGGCGTGACGAGCGAACGCTTTAATCACTAGGCTACCCGACTGCCCCTTAACCAAGATGACTACTTGTTTGGCCACGGCACTGCCGCTCACCTGGATATGCTTCCTCAGAGAGGAAATTCAGAAACAAGAAGCGTTTGCAGAGCCAAATATGCATTTTGAGAGTATTTACGAGCATGGTACACAATTGTATATATACTGCGAAAAACGGAACATATTTATTGAGCTCTAATACTGAAAAAACAATATACTAAATGTCACTAAGTCATGAACCAAAATGGAGTAGTAGACATCAACAGATTTTTCAATATGGCTGCCAACTGGCAATCGGACTAGAACCTCTCTAACAGACTGCGGTGTTAGCATTACTGGTAAAATAATGTGAAGTTTAAGTTTCAGGTATAGTGGTTTCTGAAGCGAAGATGCCCTACGATGCACACCGCACTTGACAAATAGACCACGACATAAGCTCACTGGACGTTTAGTAAGGTGAGCTAAAACATTGGTCGGTAGGTCGAAATAAATAAATTGTATAGGGACTTTGAGTTTTAACTGCGTCGGTACGACTCAGTACTGACTCATTAAAATAAGTTCCATTGCCTTTTATGCCCCTGCACGGCGAATTGCGATTCCTCACACCATTGACTGGGCTCCTGTCTCTCTTAACGAGCAGACAGACGGTGTCCGATTTGTTGTAGTCGATTTGTGGACAATAAGTATATCATATATCGGTCCTCTATATCGAATGAAAAGATAAGGCGCACAACGTGTGCTTGTGCAGTAAAACTGCTCTCGGCATAATAAACATCAGCGGAACAGTTTGTTTAAATGTTTATCGCCAAAAACATTTTCAAGGTTTTGACAAATCAACGTGTATATTTACATTTGTAATCAAGGACGCTACGCATGCGCACCAATAACCAGATATGGTAGATTAAAAGTAATGTCGGAAAGGCTAGAAAACTGCTTTTTGCCTGTTAAAAAGGGATATAATTTTTCACAGACTGTTGTTATTGAAATATCGAGTAACTACCGATCGCCCTACCTGTGGTCTGAAGTATTTGAGTCACAAGGAGTCCTATCGACAAGTTTACAGGAGACAAATTCGAAGGAAAACATGAAGTTCACATTTATTCTAAGATCAATGATGGCAGTCTGAAACGGACTATAGAAATATGCGCACGTGACTCCGTTACAATGATAATAATGTAGTCTTCATAAAACATCTACTCCACACACAAAAATCATTTTGAGAAAATTCTAGATGTGCATCTTCTGAAATGACAAAACGACGCTCCGTTATTTTGGATAACATTGCTTCCATGATGCATGCATGTTACATTACACTTGCATAGCCATAACCAAGGTACACGATATGGAATCT